ACCGTACGAACGCTGCAAATGCACTGTATCAGTTTACTGCAGACAGTTTGTCCTAAGAGGTTTCTTATCTTTTGGTTGATCGTGACATTTTGTTGTTGATTCTTTTGTGGTACAGTGTGCTTTTAAGCTCTAAACAGCAATAAAAGTACAGTTTAAAAATGTAAGGATTATATTTATTTTTAAACAATTAATTCCTTCCTATAAAAATAATGGAAATAAACAAAATCTCAGTCCTGATCATAACAAAGACAGAAACGCTTGTTGGTATGACCTTCAGAATAGTTTTATAAAGAACGGGGTCAAAGGCTAATGGAATCTGTCAGAAAGTACAAAAGGATGAAATCTTCACATCTATTTTCTGCATTAATGGACGGGGAGGGGAGGAAATTGGAAAAGTATTTCAGGCAGTTCGGTATTTTGAGGATACAGGTCAGCGAAGGGTCCGGATTTTAAAGAGTTAATATACAGTATTGTGTAAATCTTGAAGTAGAAAACTCGCTTTAGTGAACAATATAAAAAATCTGAAAGGTTTCAGATTTTAAATTACGTCCAAAGGTGCTTTTTTTTTTTTTTTTTTTTTAATTATTTTTATTTTTATTTTTTTTAATGTTTTGTGTGTTACCTTAATTTATTAAATATCATGTTCTTTTCACTTAAACAATACAAAATAATTCTAAAATGAGCATATCTTTAGAATTTCCGATAGACAGTTCCATGCGTTGGATATATAAAAAGGTTTTTTCCCTCCGTAGAAAGTTGCCATTGTTCACTTTTAAATTGTTGAGTTTGTTACTAAAAAATTCGTTTAAGTTTTACAAAATCTGAAATCGATAATAAACAAATTCCAAATTTTGTCTTCCACATGCCCATATTCATAGGAGGATTACATCATTCAAAATTCGATGGCTCTATGTTGTTGTTTCATCACAATGCGAGAAATATACATACATTTATGCATGCATTATTTAATTTCGTTAAATATAATGCAGGACTCTAACATTTGGTGGCAACAGTTTGAAAAGTGAAACAAACATTTATAGTGATTCAACGCAAAATCGCAAAACGAAAACAGGGACAAAGCCCCTTTGGGCTAATAATAAACTGTGATAAAATATCTGCATACAGCAAAGCAAATTTCATCCAATCTGGGCATGCTATGGAAGGAAAGGAGATTCGTGTAAAATATTTTGTTAACTCATGCTGAAACATACCATGCCAGGACGGAAAGAAACAAGCAAAACATGGGACAGTTCTATCTCTTATTCTACTGGGCCGATTGAAGTAATTTAACTTGCATTTTTATGTCTCGAGGGCATGACTTGGGATATATATTAGATTTATATTAAGCACTGTTCTAACATCGGTATTTAGCCAAAAAAAATCACCCTTTTTTGAAATGACAGCTAATTTTTTCCACATTTTGATTCTATGCCTAAACATATATATATATATTTTTTAATTTGATAAGAAACGTAACCGAGAAATTTTTAAATTAGTTTTGCCACACTTTTTCAGTTAGTGCCAAGAATAATTCACTTGGTGAAATTCTTAAATTATGATAACAAATTTTCCTTTTCCTTTCACTGTGCCCGAGTGCAATAAAAGTGCATCGTCATTCTCTCAAATAATTTTAACAAACTGTATAAACCATATTTGGTATTGTTGTCGCATATAACAAATTTCAAAACTTACTAGTATATAAATTCACGTATATCTTTCAAAACAGAATAAAAAATTATAATCTGTAGGTATGATTAGAAATACATCTGCTTTAAGATGACTGCAAAAATTTTATAACTTTAATTTATATAGCTTTCATAGCAAAATTTTTATCAAAAATTTATAAAACTTACTAAAAAATACAAATTGGAAAGTATGTGTAAATTTTATTTTGGATTTAATCTAAATTATTTTAAATTATGAAAAAATGAATCCAGTAAGTTTAATTAAAAAATATATACCATATTCAATTAACAATGAGGAGCTAAAATTTTGAGAGCATATTTTTTTTAAAACCTACTTGTGCGATTTTTACAAAACTTGGCACTTTGGCATAATTTGAGTCATAGAATCGAAATATAGGAAAAAAATAGGTATGTCATTTCATACAAAGTCAGAATTTGTGCCAAAATACCTGTGTTAGAAAAATGCTATATATAAATCTTAAATATATCCCAAGCTGAGCTTTCAAGACATGAAATTCTTGTTCATGGCTGTCATCGTGATAACATTTGATGGCAACAATTTGAAAAGAAACATTTTGCGATTCTTAAGTCAAAGATTTTTGAATCTAAAACGTTATGTGAATAGAGGATATACTATAAATGATGCAATGTTTTTAAATTAAAGCATGAGAACATATAAATATAATTTTTCATTGAATGGGAGAACAGAATGAAAAAAATGAGTTCATCAGGAAGTTGAATGAACTGCGATTTCAGGGAGACCATTAAAAACTTGAAAAACAGCTTTCTGTTCAATGTTAAAATATAAGCCTTTTCAATTTTTTCAAAAATTTTTGTCTTTGTTTATTGAATGTGATTGTTCGCTTCAGAGGTTTTATCTTTGAGCGTTTAGTTTTTAGTACATATTTTATGCATTATTTGATAACTTCATTTACATACAAATAGTGAAATTTGTCTTTATCATAAAATAATGGATGCTTCAGAACGTATGGAGCTAATTTCTTGTGATTCGGAATCAGAATCCAAACTATCTGCAAATGAGTCTGGAAGTAGTGGAAGTTTTCTAGATGACTGCGACACTAGTGACTCTGATAGTAGTACAGATAGTTTCAACTAAGCAAGGCAATTTTTTAAAACTAATTCTAATAATCCAACTCCTAGATTTGCTTTCATTGGAACGCCAAAAAATAACTTGAATATTGATATAGCTAATGGTAAACTTCGTTTTTAAGAAGCTTTCATGAATGATTATTTGCTAGACCTGACTGTTTTGGAAATAAACAGACATGCTGAGCAGTACATGCAAAATAGTGCATTTAGTAGGCGTTCTAGAAAAAAGAAAGAAAGAAAGAAAGAAAAAAAAAAATGGGAACCAACATCGAAAGGTGAAATACAGTTATTTTTTGCTTTGATTATTCTTCAAGGTATTATAAAAAAGCCAGTAGTTGAGCAGTATTGGAGCAAGAGCCATTCTCCATCACTGTTTCCTCCCCCCCCAAAATAATGGCACATCGTCATTTCCAGTTAATTGATAGTTATTTACATTTTTCAGATAATGAAAAATTTGACATAAATTTTCATAAGTGCCCAAAATTAGTTAAAATCTGGTCCATGCTAAAGCATTTGAAAACTTGCTTCCAAGAAGTCGTTACCCCTGAACGAGATGTCGCCACAGACGTGAGTCTTATGTTATACAAAGGAAGACTAAGTTTAAAACAATATATCCCACTAAAACCCAGGTTTGGAATAAAAACATACATGCTTTGTGAATAAAAGACTGGATATGTATGGTCTATGTTAATTTCACTGAAGAAAGAACTATGTTTGATGACAGTTACAAACATTTGAGCAAATCTTTGCAGGTTGTAATGACACTAATGCAACCACTTTTATATATAGGATACTGTCTGTCATCAGATACCTTTTATTAATCGCCTGAAATAGCAAATGTCCTCATCAGTTGCTGCACAGATATATGTCCTCAACTGTTGCTGTATGGAACATTAAAACTTCAGAGAAAGAAAGTTCCTAAAGCACTGCTGAAAGAAAAACTTCAAAATTGGCAAATAGCTTACCAGAGAGAAAAAGTGTGTATTATGAAATGGATGTACAAAAAAGCTGTCTCGCATATCTACAGTACATAATCCAGAAATGGTTGAAGTATCCACATCCAAGAATGATATAAAACGAAAACCGAGAATAGTTATGGAATACAACACAATGGGTGGTGTAAATCGAATGGACTAGAACCTAAATCCTTATCTTGTGATAAAAAGTTGGGGGGGGGGAAAGAAATACTACAATTTTTTTCCCTCCATCTTCTAGTATCTTCTAGACATCAGTTTATGGAAAAAGTATGTGCTGAACAAAAACATGTTGGTAAAGATAAAAATTTACAGTTTCGATTAGATATCGACCAACTAACTGAAAGACATGCAGTGGTAGAAGAAAGAAAAGTTTAACATGGAAATTTACCAACTCCACTAAAACTGAGAGAGAGAGACTTTTTAGGTGATTCTACCTACAGACAAAAAGCTAAGACCCACAAGACAGTGCTATGTGTGTTCACTGAAAAAAACTGAGAATGGCAAAAGAATTAGAAAAGAGACTAGGTATTTTTGTCAGGACTGTAACATTGATCAGATCTCTAATAAACAGAGTAAGTAAATGTACTTGTAGTATTTGCAATCAAAAATAATTATATAGTGATCGTAATCAGAAATAATTGCATAGTAATCGTACTTTTTTATATGCAAAACTGTAATTGTAACTTCCCTGTCAGGCATACATGAGAAAGAAAAGACAACTTCCAGGGAAAAAAACTATTATTTTATGTCCAGAAAAAAAGTTGTTATAAATGCTTTAAATAATTAGAAATATTACTTTTAATACCATTTTTCAACTTATAAAATAAAAAAAAATATGCAGTAAAATGTGTGACTTTTTTTGGATCGAATTTAAAAAAAAAAAAAAAAAAAAAAAAAAAAAAAAGCTGTTAAGGTGTTAGAGAGCTGATTTCTGCAGTAATTCTAAGAGCTTAAAACAATGTGTAAAACTTTGTATTAAAAGATTATCTAGAACAAATAATTTGTAATGGTAAAGCTTTCTTTTAAGACTGTATGTAAACATAGTTGACAGAATTAGACTGGATGGTTTCAAAACGAGTTATAAAACGAGTTATCAACTAAACAGAAGGCAACTGATATCTGCATTTCATATGAATCGATATTATTTTCTATATGGTTCTTTGTTTTGTATGTAGCTTAATATTACAACTATTTGGTTTTCTAATTTTTTTCATATAACTGAAAAGAGAAGTCTCATAAAAGTTTAATATATCAGAATTCTTTATAGTACATATTACTCTGAAAATTACATAATACACATACACCATACTGGTAATTTAAGAAATCTAATGTATAAATGTTTGTAATGAAACACAAATTGAGTTTTGTTTTATAAATTTTCGTTACAACTAATGTCCCCCCTTGTTTACAACAGAAATATTGAATATAAAAGAAGTTCAAGATTTAGTTCAAGATTTTTAAGATTTAGTATTAAACCAGACATTTGAAATTTAACAAATTGAAAAAATACACAATGGCTAAGGGTTACAATATATTCTGAGATATGCCTTTTCTTTTTTTGGCTCCCAAAGTTAAAACTTCTTTACAGCTGCATCAATATCATCAATATGTTCCTTCAGTGCATTCCACTGTTCCATATTTAGGCATATACCTGAAAAAAAATTTTTTTTTTCATGAATAAATAATAAAGTATTAGATTGTAAACTAGCCATGCATTAAAACTTAATTCAAATACGGCAGTCTTAACAAACAGAGGTCCTGCAGGTTTCAGCCGGACAAGCATTAAGTAGTTTAATTCAGAAGACAAAGCTTTAATCATTTCAGCTAAAATGCTGAAAATATCCTTATATTTTTACACTTCTCATAAAAGCATACTAAGTTCCTAAACTTAATCTCCCCCCCCCCAATTAAATCTAGTGAAGATGCAGAATAATAATTTATGGCAATGCTAACACACCTTAACTTCTTTTTCTTCTGAGGCACTACAGTTTACTGCTGGCGAATGCCATCTCAATCAGTCTACACTATCTAGACCTATTCATGGCAATACCCCTTCAGTTTCTCTATGAATGTAAATGTCATCCTCAACAGTATTAAGCCACCTAATTGGTGGTTTTCCTCGCTTTCTATCTCCCATAGGTTTAGTAAATGTGAGTTTTTAACTGGATTTGTGTCTTCAGTTTTGTATAAATGACCTAACCATTGAATCCTGTGGCTTTTTATGACCTTGGCAATATAAGGCTGTTTAAATTTTTAGTAAATTTCATGATTATACATTGATCTCCAAACACCATTTTCACAAACAGTGCCAAATATTATTTAGTATTTTACATTCAAAGATCAGTAGTTTACTTTCAATTATTTTAGTCATTGCCCAGCACTCACAGCCACATACTATGATGAGACATAACAGAGTTTTATATATATATTAATTTTATATTACGGCAAATAAATCGAAATTTGAACCGATTTTAAAGACTATGGTAGCATCTATTTGCAATAAGGAGCATGTTATTAATTTCCATAGATAAATCATTATTATTAGAGACAAGATTTCCAAGATATTTGAATTGTGCTACATTTTCAAAAGTGTAGTCGTTCACAGTCAGTGGTGATGGATTAGTTGATTTACGGGCAATTCTAAAAATTATATCTTTATTTATGGTTAGGCTTAATTTTCTTGCCTTCAGCTTCTAATAGATTGAATGATTTTGTGACTACTTTTTGGATCTACCCACTAAAGCAATGTCGTTGGCAAATGCCAAGATTTGTATCGTCTTGGTCAATGATTCCTCTATTCATATGACCAGAAGCTCTGATAGCCTTCTAAAGGGCGAGGTTAAAAAGTAAACAGGACAAAGCATCACCCTGCCATAGACCTCTGTCAGTATAGAAAACTTCAGATAAAGCATTGCCAAGTTTAACTCTACATTTCACCCTTTTAGTGTAGCTTTTGTCAGTTAGTTGGAATTTCAAATTCCTCCATTGCATCGTATAGTTTCTGCCGATTAATCCTGTCATACAGGGAGTCAGCTTTGAAGTCGATACAAATACGATACGATAGCAGGTGCCAATATTGTACTCTCTTGTTTTCTTCAAAATCTGCTTAAGGAATTTGATCAGTAGTCGACCTTTCTCTAATAAATCCACACTGGTACCATCCAATGACTTTTTCAACGTGTGGTAACAACCTCTTGTAAAGAACATTTGAGAAAGTTTTAAATATAGTATTCAAGAAAGTAATTCTGCGGTAGTTGCAAGTCTTGTCTGTCACTTTTTTTTAAAGACGGGACAGATGGAGCCATCATCCCATTTAATAAGCATCTGCTCTGATGTCCAAAACCCTCCAAACAATAGCATGTATAGCCTTAATCAACCTTCAAACAAATCAGCATTAACCCCATCAGGGCACGCTGATCTGTTTCAATTAAGTTTTTTTGGCTGCAGATTCATTCCAAAAAAGACTTGGTAAATCAAGTTCTTGTCCATCAGTATGAAAAGGAAATATAATTCTACTGCCTAAATCCATAGTGTCTTTACCATGGAATAAATCCTTAAAGTATTGCCTCGATTTTGCTAAGATCTCTTTTCATTCAGTTGCACACCATCTTTTTTTGTACAGCATATTCCATTTGGCATTAAATCTTTCCTAATATTGTTTATCAGCTGATATTATTTTACCGATTCTTTTCGGACCTGAGCTTTTTAATTTCCTTGTACTGCTCCTCTAGAAAAACTCTCTTTTTCTTCCTATGTAGAATCTTTTCCTGCCTTCTTAACTCCCTGTATTACTCCTCAGCTCTTCTGGTATAATGCTTTTGAATTATTAATTTGTAGCCAGTATTTTTCTTTGATGTAGCCATTGCACATTCTAAAACAACTTGCTTCCTAAAATTATTGTCCTTTTGTGGAAAAAAATTTTAGTGTAATTCCTTGTTTGATTTTATGCAGCTGACACTTATTGTAATGGATTTTTTGACTGAACAGAGAATACTACAAAGGCTTTCCTAGTATAATGTAATTTTTGGTAAGAAAGTTATTGCTTCCCGATAGTCTAGCCCTAAAAGTTGTTTAAAAAAAAAAGAGAATTCCAAGATTTAAATAAAGAAGAACATAATTACATTTGTCATTCAATTTTTATTATAAAAACAGTTTTAATCAATGTAATGAAAATATGTACACTGCTCAAAAAAAAAAAAAAAAAAAAAGGGACAGTGCTATATCTCCCGTTCTACTGGGCCGATTGACAAAATTCAAACTGCGTTTTTCATGTCTCGAAAGCGCGACTTAGGATATATATTAGATTTATATATAGCACTATTCTAACATAGGTATTTTGACACAAAATCGGACTTTTTCTGAAATAACATACCAATTTTTTTTACATATTTCGATTCTACGACTCAAATTATGCCAGAATACCAAGTTTTGTAAAAATCGTACGAGTAGTTTTTTAAAATATTAGCTCTCAAAATTTTAGCTCCTCAATGTTAATTGAATTTGGCAAATATTTATTAATATCTCTTTTTTTATTAAACTTTTTTGATTTTTTCTCTCACATTTCGAAATTTAGGTTCATTCCAAATAAAATTTACCACCCTTTTTTTTGTGTTTTATTTTTTTAAATTTCTATTTTTAAATAATTTTATAAATTTTTCGAAAAAAATTTTGAATTATAACCTATAAAATTTTTACCATCATCTTAAAGTAGGTGTATTTTTAAGCATATCTGCAAAAAATTAGACTTTTTTATTCAAAATTTTCTAAGATATACACGAATTTACATATTTTCGCGTTTTGAAATTTGGCATCTTTTTTTTTGAGCGATAATAACGCCAAATGTGGTCTATGGATTTTTGTTACAGTACACTGAATTGCCACAGCTATTTTTAACCTTAAATTTCAAGTAAAATTTTACGGAGAATTAATTATATGACATTTTTTTTCCCTCAATGATGCGTAATAAATATTTATTAATACTATATGAAAAGCTATTTTTTTAAATTATAGATGATATTATTCAAATTTTTAACTATTTTTTTTTTTAATTTCTTTCTCTATCTTTTCTTTTTTTTAAAAAAATTTAAGAGTAAGTTTTTTGTAAGAGTAAATTTTTACCTTCGGCGTTTTATCGTCTGCTACTTTACTTCGTTTAAATCGAATTGTCTAAAACTGAGAATTTTCGTTTGATGTTTATTTGAATTTTATGACATTAACTGCATAATTTATTTCTAAACAAACTGTTGCTTTTGAAGTGCTTTTGAAGTGGCTGAAAGAGCGGCTGATACTATCATCCATATTTTTAAAGCACAGTATATTTTTATAGAAACATAAGATTTAGAATAATCATTTTTATAAAAGTCAAATTATGATATAAACATACAACCCTCTAGAGACTGAATTAATGGAAGTTCAATGGTTATGTAGAAATGATCTGCAGCTACTTAATGGCTGGATAAGTCAGCAGATTCTGTGGACAAGTAAGAATAATTATATAAACGACACCCAACATTCTGGATTCAATTAACAACGAGGATACGATGTTTATTAAATGAATTTAAGAAGTTTTAAAACATAAAAAATCAACTCATTTTTTTATCCTAAAATGTATTTTTGTGCGTAGCGTATTTTCATTTTCATTATATCCTTAAAATTCTAATTTAGAATGTAATTGTCAAGAACTGAATCCTAATCATCAGTAATATAATAAGTAATTATTACGGTTATTAATAAATCCTTCTTATAAAGTAATTGCAAATATTTCAAAAAACTTTCTGTCTGAATGCAAACATTTTTCTATGCAAATATTTTTAATTTTATATTAATCAAGATTGCACACGATATTATTTATTTGCACTTCAATTCTTACCGTCAGTTCTAGTAGAAGTTACAAATCAATTATATTTAATTAAGGATTGGATTGGATTATTTAATTATGGCAAAGCACACGAGGGCTATCTGCCTAAAGGGAGGGATGCCTTCGTGGAGGACTTTCTAAGGGAAACTGGCTCGTATACACGTTACACATGGGGAAAACGCCCATGCGGCCAGCCCGTTCGCGGGATTCGAACCTCGGACCGAACTACCAGTGTTCAGTGTCTTTAACCGCTCGGCCGCTGGTGGGCTATTTAATTAAGGAATGACCATCTAAGTTTAGAAACAGCGTACCGTAACAGCAATTCAATTATTGGCGCCGTATCTTTCATGTTACTTACTCCCGATTGGCAAGCTACATGATTTTTAATGAGTATTCGGGTTTTGCTAGTAACTTCACTTGGAAATCGCGCTTAAACTAGGTTAGTTGGTTATTTGAACATAGAAAGAACATGGGAGCTATTTGATTAAGATGCTTTCATAGAGAACCTTTGTAAAGAGAACCTAAAAAAACTACGAAAACCAACCATGCAGCCTGGGTTAGACTTCGCAAAAACAATTAGTATTTAACAATCTTTCAAATGCTAGGCAACTGGTGAGGCTCCAATTTAATATTTTATTTGTAAATATTTAAAATATTGTTGTATTCTTAGACACAAAAAGCAGAATTTAAGTTTTGTTAACTCGTTAGTAAACTACCAAGCCGTAGTGCAAATGAATATTCAATTTCTTTTGCAATAATTGTATTCACTTAATATTCTTGGAATATGAGCTAAA